ATTTCATAGCATCAAACAACTGCCATCCACTTCATTTACTGTATCCTCTGTGCAGCAAGATGAAATACACTATTAATTTTTTGGTTGTTTAAGGTGAATAATAGCATGGATACCTTTTTATTTCTTTTTGGGACCAAAGTAGGTTTAGGAAATCCACAGAAAATGTATTACCACCATCACAAAGGTCAGGTGTTAGGTCTAACCCTGATAAATGAAACCAATTTCTTCTCAGAATTAGATGTGCTCCTTATTCCCTTCAGATACTTTTTTCATTCTATATGTGGAAGTCTGTTGGTTTCCCAGACTAGCTAGAAGCAAGTCTCAGAAAAGCATACCTAAAATAAAAATACCTGCTTCTAAAGTGAAATAAGAGAACACATTTCATGGACAGATCATCTGACACCATTTGGCTCTGAGTATTAAACCACAATCTAATTGCTACAAACCAATAGAAAAGAAAACTGAAAATACTTATGCTCAAAAACTGTGAAGATGTTAGTTCAAGATAATTCCACATGAAAAATTGTTAGAACAGAAATTCTATTATCATGGTACCCATGTGAAGATGAGCATGAATCACTCAAAGAACAGTTAAATAAAGTTTTAATGACAGGAGGGAAAGAAGTGGGAAAGCTTGGAATCTCTAAACAAATCTTTTCTAACCTGGACCCATAATTAGTGTTACTATTGTGCAACTGAATGTTCTTGAATTGCACCCTGGAATATAGAAAACTAAACAGTTTCTGAAATTTCTATTTGACAACTGCTCGTAATAATTCTTGTAGGGCCCTGGAGGACAGAATATCTTTGTATAACAGCAAGGGGAAATGAGTGAAAGTATAAGTTAAATTTGAGTAAAAAATTTAGGATCTGTAAAAACAAACCTTTACAATTTCTAAAACCAAGAAAAATGCTACCAAGTGTTTAACCATGTTTTGATGAAAATAATTTCTAAACAAACATGTCTCTGCAGTATTTGTTACCTATGCACTACAGCAATGAAAACCTAAAAATGAGATTCCATTGATTGTCATTGCACGTACACACACACGTGCACACACACACACACACAAAGAATACAGTGAAAGTGAATTGATATATAAAATTTTTCTGCCTCGCTAAATGAATGTGTTAACTTAAACATGATGGTAAACACATTTGTATTTACTATGTACAAATTATAATTTTAGATTGTCTCTTTAATATCTTATAATAGCAAAAATTCACTATGCGTTAGAAGAAAAAGCCTCCAGCTATCTAGGACAGGTTGCAGGAGCAGCTACAAGACTGATAATGAGCTTCAATATGGCCCTCAGGGACACAGAATTGATGTCTGGTTCTGATGTTGTGACTTAGAGTATCATACATACAGCTATTCACATACCAAACATAGGCTAAGTTTCTGGATCTTGTCTGCATAGTAACGTACATATTTTTCTTTTGGAGGGGAGAAGGAGGAGGAAAAGAAATGTGTTATGAAGTGAAAGGGTAAGGCTAAATAATTCCTCCAAAAATATTCAGTATTTAAAAAAAAACCCACAACTAAACAGCTACAGAGATAACGTCACACAGTTCTAAATCAAGTTCTTTGGGATGGAGGGGAAAAGAGAAGACTGAGACAGGACATCAAGGACAGAGTTTGGTTGCTGCATTTTAAGTGGCAGTATAGAATTACTGACAAGACACTGTACTGAAAAAAAATATTTTTGATGGAGATGGCAGCATTTCTAGTAAATGGGAAATGTCTGAGCAAACAGGAACTGCTTACATCTCTGATTCTCACCTATTTGGGCTCAGGACAGCTTACCTCAAACAACTAAATACCTTTAAATAAAAACATCCATGTAATAGACACATTTATGTAAGGAGTACTTAATAAGTACTATGCATACCACAGTAGCAGATCCTATAGCTTCTGTCCCACAGGGCTGTCTGGGCTGAGCTCTGGGAGTTGTGATCTTTGGGACATCAGTGTTGGTCATGTTTGGTGGGGTCAGTTGGGTCAGATTTGTGAGAATGGTGAAATTTGTTGCAGACTGTCATTGAGCCATTCAAATTTTGCCTGTCTAGCCCACATCATCATGACAAGAGAGGAGGGCGGGACAAATCTAAGCAGCACTGTGACCCTGTGCACCATGTTAAAACACCTGGAAAAGAGGAGCCACAGAGTGCAGGTTGGGCTCTGCAACCCCTGCCCTGCTCCCTTACCTCCAGGGCCAGAATTCCTCCGCATCCTACCCTCACAGGTTTCATCTGATCTTATGGCACATTCTGGCAGCGAAATTCTGGGTTGGGACCCACAGTCATAGCAGGATATCAGGTTACAGTATCCACTATATGGAAATTTGCATCTCTACTTTAATTTACTATGATTAACTGAAGTTCCGGATCTGCTCTTTTTGTCTAATTTATTCTCTTCTTATTTTGTGCCTTTTTCATGGTCTTCACTTCCCCTAAAAATCACTTCCTACTTTCCATATGCCAATCACCTTCCATTCCTCCAGGCTGGTGGTGGGCAATAATTGTTTTGGGGGGGGAAGGAGGGAGAAGGAGGGCACTCTAAGATGTTAGAAAGTGGCCAAAGGCCATACTTTTCTATGGAGGGCAGGGTCTAGGACAGGGTGCAGAAGGGAGTTCAGGGTAGGAGACTAGGGTGCAGGAAAGGGTGTGGGGTCTGAGAGGGAGTTTGGGTGAAGAACAAGGTTGTGAGCTAGGGCAGGGAACTGGGGTGCAGAATGGGTGGAGGGAATGGGTGCAGGAGAGGATTTTGGCCTGTGGTAGGAGTATTGGAGGGGGTGCAGGGTCTGGGAGGGAGTTTTGACCTTGGGGAGGGGAGAGTGAAGAGGGTTCGGGTGGTAACTTAGGGCAGGAGAGGGTAATGACCCGAGGTAGGGAGTCGGAGTGTGGGAGGTGTTTACCTAGGCGGCTCCTGGACAGCAGCCCTGCTCAAAAGAGCCAGCTGCTCCCTGTGGCTCTCTGCTCCAGGCACTGGGAGGAGGCTTTGTGTATTGCCCTTGCCCCCCTCCCCCATAATTTTACAGATTCTATTGTCAATACTGTCTCCTCCCACCTTCTCACGTCAGTATATTGTATTTACTTTATTGAGACTGCATGCTCCCAGGACAAGGGACCTGTCTAAACTATATATGTGTAAAATATTATGCACACCTCTGTTGGAATATAACAGGGAAGAGAACATGCTAGATAAAATGAAACAAAGGAATGTAAACAAGAATCAGCACACTTCTTTTTAGGAATAAATTCATTTACAAAGGAAGAGAAATTGCTAGCTTACTTGCATGGCAGAATGCGGACAACATCGTTCTGCTTGTAACACTCGATACAGACAGCACAATGATCAAAGTCAGGGTCTGTTTCCTAAAATGAATAGCATGAAAACTCAAGTCAAGAGTTAAGATTACATTAAAGGCAAAGTAGGCATGATTAGTCATCAGGAACTGCGTACTGTGGCAGTGAGGATCAAATATGCAAAGTGGCCATGGACAGGAAGAGGTAGAAAAGGGTGAAAAGATTATAAATAAATAAATTCAAACATGCCTCACAAAGAAGATACAACACACATTTTACATGCATATCAAAGTCACAATTTCATTTAAAATCAGTATTTATGTATACACTAGATTTAAAATAGAATAAAACAGCTATCATTCCTTTGTACAAATAGTACTTTGTATTTTGACTCAAAAGATACTTCTTCAGGATTTTATTCCAATTATAATCTAGTCTACATCTTTACTTTACAATGTTTTATATGATACTACTAAAGCAGAATTATTACATCTCCTTTTATAATCAGAGCTAACCCTCTTTTGTTTTGTTTCATACTTCAGAAAGTCAAGTGTTCTTTTCTACTCTTTAGAACCAAGAATTACTGATGTCATTCCTATATATAAACATCTAGCTCAAGATCACTTGCTGGCTATACTTTGTTACAAAGGTTACAGTCTAATTACTGTTTCTATATGGATAAAAATAATTGCACATATTTTAAGTTTCCATTTGGAGAAAGGTGGATTTCATGTAGATCATGTCATGGCATTGGTAGTACACACGAAGACCTGTGGGCTATCCAGACACACAGGCTGTGCTTTCTTTCAAAACATACTTTTTTTCAGCACTAGCAAAGTACTAAAACAAGGACATAAAGAACCATAGCAAGACAAAATTAACAACTCCACAGTTGGAAACAGGCAGTCAATATTTCATGCAGAGAACCCTGATGGGCTGCACTGATGAGTGGCAGATTTATTCCTGTATTCCTTTCAACTACATACATGTCCCCTGCTGCCTGTTCTGCAATCTCCATATCACTTAATCTTGCATCTATGTTGTCAGGAAGGCAACTTCTTCCCTTGTCATTTTAATAAGTTCTAAATATACACACATCAGCAAAGATCTACTGCAGAAGATTCATGTAACTAAATTGCCTAGAAACAAAACAAAAACAAAACAAAACCCAAAAAACAATGACTTGAGAAAAGCATTTTTCTCATGTTTCTCTTTAGAGAAGCAAATTCAGATGACTTCTCCTATTTCTGCTGTGTAGGTAGCAAAGATGATGGGAGGGAGTCAGTGTGGAAGAAGCAAAGGGAAACATTTTTCTTTTAAAAGACAAAAAAAATTATAATCAGAACACTATTTAATTATAATCACACCTGTGCCTTTTGCAAAAGGAAAGGGAAAAGTGACTCATGCTATAAATACATTTTACAGCTGATACAGAACTTATGAGGTTCAATTGTATAGGTTTCAATTGTTCTTTGATATCCAAATATAGTTCACTATAGCACAAGACTTCAGACTCCAAGTATTTCAACTCAACCTCTCCCTTAGCTCAAGAGACCACTAGTCTATAAAAGTGAATTCTCACAAGGACACTTTCTCTATAAACCCTCAATTTTTACTTTGCACAACATATATGTGCAGCATTCTAAGTGTACAGTGTTCCACATAACTAACACTAAACTTGCCTTTCTCTAGTACTCACAATTTATACAGATTCATTAGCAGCACAGTAAATTAAATGTTACCATGATGGCTCAATACCTTAGGGGTTCTTGTACACAAAGCCTTCTGCACTCCTGCCTGCAGAAATACACAGCCAGCTAACACAAAACAGCACTCAATCACAGTTCAACTAGTCCCAGAACAAGAAAAATTCTCCTTTGGGGGAGCAAAGGCTACAGATTACAGAAAAGCTCTAGATGTCACACTGAAATACTGCAGCAAAAGATTTCCCCATAAAGTAAGCAAGCATCAAAGATGAGAGGAAAAAGAAAAACAAATCAGATAAATAAATTGTTTTTACTATCAAGGTAAACAATGAGTATACTGTGCTGAAGTCTTATCACCATACCTTATCACCCTTCTTTACTGTCCTGGTTGTCAATTTGCCAATGGCTTTCTTTGCAGCATCTCCAAGACGACGCTATTGAAGTTAGAGAAAAAGAACACACGGATTAATGCTTAGAGTCTAACAATTTTTATCCTTTAAAATTACTTAACTGGCTAAATATTAATGCTGCAATACTCTGCTATAATTGGCTAATAATCAAAGTAGAAAGGATATGGTAACTACAATCAGATAACCTGCACATACCACCAAAGAGAAAATCCAGCTGCAGACTGTGTACATGCAGTTAAGGAAATCATTTGCTATTGCAAAAGTCTCATAGGCGGTTTCAGATACGGTTTTTAAAAAATATCTCAGAGCCATTAAAATACATACACTGGGATATAGCGATTCATGCCTTTCCACTAATTCCTACTGTATTCTGCTCTAATTAATTTTTATTCAATGACCTGTATATCATCCCTTGTTCTCTTCCTAAGTTTTCTATTTGGCATTTCCGAGTAGAGTATAAACCTGCCAAAAAGGCAGACAATTCACAGCCTTGCCTAATAGTTATCTCAATACAACATAAAACCAAACAGTATTTACACACGCTAGAAAATAATTTAATACCCATAAAATAAAAATGCAATCAATGCACTTTACACTTGAATAAAGTTCATATGAATACTGATCCCAAGACAAATCTATTTGGTTGCAAAGGGTCAAGTTGTTTTTAATGGGCATCAGTGTTCGTTGCAAACAGTCATTTCTATGTGTAAAGTGCTGATTCCAACAGCAGTGCTGTGTTCCATGCCAATTAAGAATGGCAACTTGCCAGTTGGTTCATAGGATTTAAGGGCCAGATCACGTTGAGCTGAACAAAGCTCATGTTTCCTCATTTCAATAACCATGAGCCACAGAAACAGGAGGAGGTTTCCACTGATTGGCAGAAAGAAAGTTAGTTTATTTTTTCATTTAAAAGCTTCTATAATTATGCACATGATTACTGTGAACTTTCTACCTTCATCATGGCTCTCCTGAGCAGGTGCAAATTGCAAGTCAGAAGTCACCATATGTCTTTGAAACAGGTCAAGTAACTGGATATTTGTGTTTGTTCCCAGCCTTTTATAAGCTTGAAAATAAACTAAAATCTTTCCTTACAAGTTGTCCTTTTTTATATCACATACTTTTCCTTTGTTTAACAGTGCTGAAATAAATATGGCTGCTTTTATTTAAGCAACTTACTTAAGACCCAATTATGCCAGCGCAATTTATGTACCAAAATCATTAGCAATGCTAGCCATGTTCTGGAATTGTACAAAACACTTCTAAAGTTTTTGCAATGGCAATGGCTCTTTCATTTTAGGGTTTAAGATCTTGAAATGGAATGATAAATCTGTAAATAGGAGAGATATCCAATCACTGAACTGTGGTTTGCCTGCACAGCTGCAGTGATCTTTTCATTAACTGACAAAGCTATGTTGGCAGAATTTTGGGAATGACATTGCAATGGATGTTTCCATGTTGCCTAATGATCACTTTAGTAGCTCAAAAGTAGCTGGAGGACACAATAGCCATCTCTCTCCTGCCCTGAAGCTGGCATAAGGCTGTTGGCTCTGCAACATCCCCTCAAAACACTGCTCTGTTTCAGAAGATTTTCCAGATGAGGGAAACTATTGCTCTCTAACTTCTTAAGGCATGGCATAAAGTTTATTTTACTTGCTAGCTACTTTACAAATATAGAAACGTAGCGTTGAGTCTGTGTCTCTTGAATGAAATTGGGCACTGCAGATTAGTCGTCAGATTTTGGTAAATATAACTCCACCACTAAGATTGGAATTAAACAAGTTTACTCTGCACATGATCTTTACTTTGAAATAAATGACAATTGTTTTAGCAAAACCTTACTGCAAAATGGTAGTTTCTACAGAGCAAAGCAGTATTCTATAAGTTCATCCAGGGCTGTTCAGTTTGGTAAGTGCTTGGTCATTTTTCTTCCGAATGTAAATAAGTTGCAAAGTCTGCATTCAGTATTCAAGACTGTGAGCTACTATAGGCACTGAAACACCTCGGCTGTGTCTAGACTAGCCAGTTTTTCCCGGAAAAATCAGCTGCTTTTCCGGAAAAACTTGCCAGCTGTCTACACTGGCCGCTTGAATTTCCGCAAAAGCACTGACTTCCTACTGTAAGAAATCAGTGCTTCTTGCGGAAATACTATGCTGCTCCCGTTCAGGCAAAAGTTGCGCAAAGCTATTGCGCAAAAGGGCCAGTGTAGACAGCTCAGATTTGTTTTCCGCAAAAAAGACCCGATCGCGAAAATGGCGATCAGGCCTTTTTTGCGGAAAAGCGCGTCTAAATTGGCACGGACGCTTTTCCACAAAAAGTGCTTTTGCGGAAAAGCGTCTGTGCCAATCTAGACACTCTGTTCCGAAAATGCTTTTAATGGAAAACTTTTCCGTTAAAAGCATTTCCGGAAAGTCATGCAAATCTAGACGCAGCCCTCCTTTAATGACAACTTAAGTGACTGTTCCTGGGATGCATTCATGTAATAGTTTCCATCACATAATTTTCTATAGGGAATGTTACATATGCATAATTAAGGAAATGTCTTAGCCCACCTCTAAACTTAGCCACCTTTTCAGGAACACAGCAGTTGGTATATAGCAGGGGTGGGCAATAATTTTTAATGGAGAACACTGCAAGATTTTGGTAAGTGGTCAAGGACTGCACTTTGCTGAAGAGGGCACAGCATCTGGGACAGCAGGTGGGGTGCAGAAGGGAGTTTGGCTGAAGGAGGGGGTTATGATCAGGGTCAGGAGTGTAGGGTGCTGGGTCTAGGAGGGGTTATGAGTGCAGGAGAGGATTCTGGTCTGTGGGAGGGGCATAGGAGGGAGTGGTGACCTGGAGGAAGAGAGGATACAGAGGGTTTGGGTGGTGGCCTAGAGCAGATAGTTGGGGAGAAGGAGAGGGACAGGCTCTAGCTGGGAGCCCCTTACCTAGGCAGCTGCTTCATAAGAACCCTGCCTGTGTGCTAGGCAGACTGCTCCACATGGCTCTACTCCAGCACAGGCAGGGGGGAGTGAGGAGACTTTAATCACTACCCCTGCCCTCAGCAAAATTTTTCTTCTCCTATTGGTCAGAAACTGGCCAATGGGAGCCTGGGGCTTTTGCTAGGGGGCGGGGATGCCACACAAACTTTCTCCTCCCTGCCCAGTTTGCAGAGCAATTAGCAGCCTGCTGTTTAAAGCAAGTGCAACTGCTCTATGGTAAGGGTGCTGATGAGATGGCCCTCAAGCCACCTCTTGCCCAGCTCTGGTGTGTAGCATCCTCACATTCTATTGTAGGATAGGAAGTCAAGAGTACTACGGGCCATTCAAATTGACACACTATGTCTATAAAGTGCTTTTAAATCTTTTGTAATACACTGATTATAGATGGAACAGACAGCACTACTTATAAATAAGGTTGATTGTCACATCCCACTACAAAACAACTGTTTTAAGTTTATAACTTTGCCTAATTAACAATTCAGGACAATATTCCCTCCAATCTTTTCCATCCATGTGCAAAATATATTTTATCTGCACTGAGACGTGTAAATGCACCATGTCACCCTCACATACAAAAAAAAGCTAGCTGTGGGCATCAGAGTTTCTTCTGAGTGGCCACACAAGTGAGCAACTTACAGGAAACACTGGTTCAGGCTGAAGTTTCTCCATGCTAGTGTCTGCCTCCAGCTTTTTTTTTTTTTTTTTTTTTTTTTTAAATAACTTCAGCTAAATCAGTTTGATCATTATGGATAATATGTTTTGCCCATGCTAAAGATTTAGAGAGAAACTAACATCTTCATGCTCTGGAACAGGGGCTTGAAATTTGACAGGGATCATCCTGTTGGGAGTGTGTCTCAAGCCACCCCTGTAAAAAGTCACCCAAATATGGCCAGTTTATAAGCCTTAGAAAAACTGCTATTTGCACATGCTCATGAGAGATTTGTTTACAGTTGAATTTCCAGAGAATGTTCAGGCTCAGGGTAGGGTCTAAACAGGACTTAATTGCAGTTGTTTTTCCTGCTACTGCTCCAGCACTGAACGGGGAGACACTCTACCCGGTTTTCAATGCTCCCCCCCCCTTGCTGTAAACCAGACAGGGAGGAGGAAAAAGTAACCTACAGTGCCAACCCTAGACATGAGTGATGAGGGTGGCTGCTCAGGATGTGCCGATGGGGGCCCATATGAATAGTCTCACATGACCTTACTTGGGGACAGTTAGCTAAGCAGGAGGGGAAACAGAGCAGCCAGATCAGCGAGGACAGAGGCACTCACGCATCTCAGGTAACTCTTCAAATTTTTTTCCACAATTTGATCCGAGGAAGTGGGTCTGGCCCATGAAAGCTCATCACCTAATAAACCAGTGGTCCCCAACACGGTGCCCGCGGGCGCCAGGCATTTGTGTGCACCCACCAAGTGCTCGGGGCTGGCCCCGGGCACGTGGCGCATGCATGGTGCCGGAGCCGGCCCCAGGCACATGGCTCACGGTGAGTGCCGGCCCCGGGAGCGCCGCGGATTGGCCGCCCGCGCTCTGGGAGCATGGCGCATGGGGGGAGTGCCAGTCCCCGGGCATGCGGCTATGGGGGGGCCCCGCCCCTCGGTGCACAAGTGGCCCTGCCCTCTCGCGCCCGGCAGGGGGACGGCCACGCCCCCTGGCACCCAGCAACCTCTAATGGTTGGGGACCATTGTAATAAACCATCTTGTTAGTCTTTAAAGCGCTGCATAGTCCTGTCTTTTGTTTCGTCTAGTCTGGTGAGAGCAGCAGTAGGGGTGGATGCCCAGGAGAACTCCCCAGTCTCTCTGGGAAAGAGGGCCTCTGTAGAAGCCATGTGGGGAGTGGGTTGGGCAGACTGTGCTAGAAGAGGCTTAGGGTGGGTGGCTGAGTTCAGTGGGGATTGAAGGAGTATGTAGCTTCTCTCTGTGTTCTGGCTGGCTAAGGGGTTGGAGCAGCCTTGCTATCTGGGTGTGTGTTACTGTGAAGCAGGTGTGGGTCCACATCCTCCCTTTTCTTCCCCTTCCCTTCCTAATAGCCACTCTTCCAGGAA